GGGCGGTGGCAGATTGTCGTCAGCGACTGCTAATATATTGTCATGAACCCCAGACGACTCCTGTGAGCGGTAGCGGCAGTGTAACAGGATAAGAGGTCACACAAGATCTAACGTGGATCTCGGCGGGTAGTTTACAGAAGCTTTTACATTATATTTGTACATAATGTTCAAGAAATGTTTGAATATTCAATTCAAAATTATCTACTACCAGAAATTGTAATAAAATATTTCGTTTGTTAACTGTAGGAAGCAAATGCGAGTGACAAACCTTTCCACCGTCACCCACTGGATGGGGCGGTGTGTGTAAGCATGAAACTAGCTCACTGAACATGTAATTTGTTTAACTTGAGACTATACAAGTTTGGTGCCTTCTTTTGATAATTATTTACTTGAGACTATACATGATGGATATGGCGTACATAATAAATGAACTAAACTAAACTTCTTACCTAAGGTAAGGTAATTCTGAGAAGAAAGCACTAAGCCAATAAGACTATACTGTATAGTACTTTGAAGATACCAGACAAATTGGTATTGGACGGAGGGAAGGAATGGTGCGCAACCTCTTGAAACTTCGGGAGTCGAACACAGATTGCAAGCAAAGCCTTTATTATAATGATCAAGCAGCTTAGGTATACACAACAATGTGGTGTTACCCCATTCTCTATAAAAGATTAGTGCAGATAAAAAACTAGCTCTAAGTTCTTTTAATATCCCAATCTCACAGGATGGTTAGCCTTACGTGTTATCAGGAGGGAACATGGTGTGTACAGGTAGTTCTAAAGTAGATATACAGAACTTTACTAAAATACACACATTGAGTCTTGAAGTATACTGTACTTAATAGAAAAGGGAGTTTGTACAATATAGGGAGTACGCAGATGAGTCACAATAACGTGGCTGAAAAATGTTGACCAAACCACACAAGAAATTGGAGAGACGACGTTTCGGTCCGTTCTGGACCATTGTCAAGTAGATTCATTATCATAATCGACTTGATAATGGTCCAGGACGGACCGAAACGTCGTCGTCTCTTCACTTTCTAGTGTGGTTTGGTCAACATAGTGCTGTACCATATAGGGTTTGAGTATAGTATTGCACAGGTGGTTATTCATTTATAGGAAGCCTTACTAAAAGTCCGGCATTGTTACTAGCTTTATTTAACTTGGGATCTAATATATCAATTTCTCCTGAATCAGGGAATACTACAAATATTCAAGTTATGAAATTCTTCCACACAAGAAAGTGAATATAGTACTGTATACCGTTTACCAAACTTTATTCCCTCATGCATGGAAATATTTTCCATGCATGAGGGATTGTATTCTCCATCATGGAAATTGCCTTCATTACTTTCTTTTTCCTCCTGTAGATATTGTTAATTTTCCGCTGGTTTACATATCTCCTCTGCTCAAGAAAGCACATGCTGTATAGTGTTCACCACTGTATTCATTCATGGAAAAATTATCCTAGGGCTATTACTTTTATCAAGTTAATCTCTTAAATGAATATGGGATTAAAGATTCACTAAATCTTTTACTAAGACTGTATTTCCTTATTAATATAAATTTCCCCCCTGGGACATGTTCCTGTCAGTGTCACTCTTATTGTCACTTTCAGGCTCACTCTTAATGTCAATTCCAGGCTCACTCTTAATGTCAATTCCAGGCTCACTTTTATTGTCACTTTCAGGATCACTCTTATTGTCATTTCCAGGCTCACTCTTATTGTCACTTCCAGGATAACTCTTATCATTCTCAGTATCACTTTCATTGTCACTCGACACAAAATCAGGCCCCTCTTCTTCAGTTGGTTCATTTGTTAGAGTATAATCATCCATGCAGAATGCTAAAAATAAGTCATTTTCTGTAAGGTATACAACATTCTTGTTATTGGTTGACTCCTTAACAGCACTACGCTTTATATTCTTGCACATATTTTTAGCATCTTTCATTCGAATTTCATCGCACATTGTAATGTACTGACTTTCTGCGTACCTTTTCAGAATTTTGTCTTGGTGACCTTTTAGACCAGTAATCGTGTGCACACTTATGTCATATTCTTCACTAAGCTTTTTCGGTGAAAAACCTGCATAATTTCTCTTCAAAATGTCAACCTTTTCTTCTATTGTCAGTGGCAAATTCCTGCGCTTTGCAACATTTGCTGCACTGCTGTCAGCAATCCGGAGAGATCTCTTGGAGGCCATTATTAGGACAACAATATGAAAAATACAGTAAAGACCACATGCACAAGTCCAACAACTAAGTCAGTAAAAAGGGGCAGACTGTTGGTGCTGGCCAAGGAAACACTCGCACCAGAAACTACGGTTTCTGTGAATATAATTAAAAGAAACTAAAAATGTGTGAATTTTTAGTTTTCAGTAATAAAAAACACCTTAGATTCTCTACAGTACACGAGAGGGCACTAATAAAGTTAACAAGCTTCCACCAGAGGCTCTGCAGGCTGAACTTCCACACAGCTGTTGTGTTCCCTCACCTGTGAAAAGGAAAATATATTAGTGCCGATACACAACACTTATCTACTTCTAATTGCTGTACAAAATATTGGCTACCTATTACGGTACTTTAACTGTTCTTGTTTTAGAGATCAACTTAAAATTCCCCTTTCCTACAGGGGGTAAAAGATGCAACTGTAGATAAGTTTACATTAGGTATTTTAAGCAAGATGCCAAATATGAAAATGTTATACACTTTATACTACATTATATACTAAGTCATATACAATCTGGATCTGGATGGGGTTCTGGGAGTTCTGCTTCCCAATGGGTCCAGCTTGACTTGTGAGAGCTTGCTCAAACAGGCTGCTGCTTGGAGCGGTCCACAGGCCCACATATCTACCACAGCCCAGTTGGTCCTGCCCTTCTTGAAGAAAACTATCTAGTTTTCTCGTGAAGGTGTCCACGTTTGTTCCAGCAATGTTTCTTGTACACGCTGGGAGTATGTCTAACAACTGTGGACCTCTGATGTTTATACAGTATTCTCTGATTATGCCTATGGCACCTCTGCTCTTCACTGGTTGTACAGTATTCTGCATTTTATTCCATATCATTCACTCTGGTATGTTGGTATTTTATTGTGTAGATTTGGGATCTGGCCCTCCAGTATACAAGGTGTTACAAGAGTTCATATCAGTATACAAGAGATACAATTTCCAAAAATAATTGCCATTAGGCTGTACCACTCAATAATGTCACAGTCTTAGTCTTAGGATCACACACATAAGTACTGCATTGTCAGTTTTAAATCAATGTGCATTCTCAAGATATCACATGGGATAAACCATACTACAATAGGGCTGCAATACTCAATTTCAATATACATTAACCATACATGTTTGCTTAAACTTAAGTTCTGGGTATTTTAAGTTTCCAGTCAATGTGATGAGGCATTGTTAAGATACTGAATGGAAACCAGTCGGTAAAATTATATGAATAATAAAAATAACTATGAAAAAATCATAAGTTATTCCTATCAAGGAACAAATGGGCATGCTCAGTCATTATTAAATAGTATATTCAAAATATTGTAAAATATTTCAGGAAGTAAATGTAGTAGTAAATTTACCGTCTGGATGTCCTTCCCTCGATGCGTTTTGACTGTAGTCAATCGAGATATCCTTTGCTGAATAGCGTATCATAGAATATGAGGTGTTGTATTGATTAGTGTTAAAATAAGAACATGAAGTATAATGAATAATAGAGCATGTAATGAGAACAGGCAGCTGGAAGGAAAGTGGGGTGGAGAGTCTATAGATGGCTGTTAGAGGGGTGTAATGATGACAGGCAGATGTACGGAAATGGTGAATTGGACAGGATCAAAGTACTGTAGTGATGTGTTGTTTGTTGATGTGGAGGTATCAGGGTGATGGTGTACTTACCCATCATACTAGAATATGGGGGATAGAGGAGCCTCTGACCCTTATTTACTTGGTGCATTTTTTTTTTAAATCATTGATATTAAAGCTATTACTTGATATTCAAGTTGTGGATGGTGATGGTTTCATGTCTACTCCTTTCTGTGCATTTTATTTGGGCATTACATTTATTTGTTAAGTCACTCCAATCTATCCTCCTGTTTAGATAGTATTTTTTGTAACTATGTGCACCATTGTACAAACATTGATGTACTAAGCAATTATAGAACTTTGTACTATTCACTTTATAGCTAGACAAATGAAGCTAAATCAAATATTCCTAGGCCTAGTATAGCACATGCATGTACTATATTAGGTTACTTTAACTAAAGTATGTACAATACTACCAAAACAGGAGGACGGGCCGACTACCATTGTAGAGCACAAAAGCACACTTTCTTCATTACTTTTGTTGTCTGTAACATCACTTTACATGAGCTCATTCTTTTGCATAGTACATTCAAACTGACTAGAAACAATAATGGTCCTAAGAGTAATATTTGGGGTACCCCTTATCACAGCCCTCCAGATAGATATTAGACAATGTACCAGTTGCCTCCAGATACTAGTTAGTATACCAGAAATGTATCAAGTGTACCGCAGATGTATTTGCTAAGTACTAGGTGGTATACAGTACCATATGCAGGCGATGAGTCACAATAACGTGGCTAAAGTATGTTGACCAGACCACACACTAGAAGGTGAAGGGACGACGACGTTTCGGTCCGTCCTGGAACATTCTTAAGTCGATTGAAAGTTGACCTGAGAACGGTCCAGGACGGACCGAAACGTCGTCGTCCCTTCACCTTCTAGTGTGTGGTCTGGTCAACATACGGTACCATGGTTATATTTCCTTGAATGTCCAAGTTTTGTTGATCAGACACAGATGCTTCCCACAAACACAGAGAAAGATGCCAATGAACATAATCCTAGACGATAATGATCTTTGCTAACTTATGGTAAGATACTGTATATAAAACCAATTAAGTGCTTGCCATACAAGACTACAAAACGTTTCCAAAATAGTAGTACTGTATAGTAAATAAGTGGTAAAGTGAAAAAGAATACAAGACAGTACTATAGTCTTTATTATCAAGAATAGTAATCATAAAATACAAAAATATTTTATTCTGTTGCTATTAAATAATATAAAAGTATATGAGTCCTATTCTGACATTTAACTATTTTCAAGTAACATACTCATAACTACTCAAGTTATAACTGTGTATCTCTTAAGTTATTGCATTCATAAACCAAAAAAAGGCCAGAAGAGAGAACATGCTCACGACTTACAAGGTTTCATTATAATAGCAAATGAATGATTAATTATATATACAGTATCACAAGAAGAGCACCACGCCACATAGGCTACCAGTATAATATTAAGACACCCAACAATCTGCTATACAGCACTTGAGTATTATAACCAATCATCAGGCTTCAAGGTTTTGGGAAATTATACATTTTCTTTATTTTTTTTATAAATTAACATGTCACTATATTCATAAAAGTAGTTTTTATAAGTGGCTTTTTACTTAGTCCTCACTCTGACTTTTGTGTTTCTTGAATTACAGCCAGTCAATGCTATCCAAAATTATTTTTCTGAAAGTCCATAAAAATGCCCCATAATTAGACCGATACAAATAATAGCCCTGAATACTGTATCTAAATGTCATTTAGATTATTTGGGACACTATTTGTCAATTGTTGGTGATCACAATGTCAAAATTCAAATACAGCTCTTGGCAGCAAAAACACACACAATTCATTTATTATTTGATTTTATTATGTAGAGTTAGAATCATTCAAGAATATACAGTACAGTATATCTGTATATTTTACAAAAGTCTACATAACACGCATTCTTTACATTTACAGTATTTTAACACTAGAGTGGCACACTCAAGAGAGAGAGTGAGAGCAACTAGTCACTTGTACTGTACTTAACATTACAAATACTGTGAATAAACACTTTGAGTAAGTGAACACACAATGATTTGCAAAATAGTTAATTATATAGTGACATGTTAAATATTACAGTTTTGAAGGTTCATTGAAGTACATACTGTTTTGTACATAAACTTAACATTTTAATTAAATTACAGTATAGAGTAAACAAGAGGTGCACTCTTAGCACTATTTAATACTTGAATTATAACTTGTGCAACCTAATAAAAATAACCGAAATTAACAATGCACTAGCTGAAAAATGCAGTGCGGAAAGTATATGGCAATGAGCCAGTTCTCATATTCACTTCATTATTCATTATAAAGTATCTGCAGCATTTACTTTGCTTTAATGAATGTTTATAGTTAGCTTTTGTGTAAAGTTATGACAAAATTAAATGGGTACTTAAATAGTATACTATGCAATAGAAAAATAATAGGTTTGATTTACTTGACTTCACTTGGCAAAGTAAATTGCTTGGCACAGCTCTGATGTTTCATGTGGGAAAACCCAACAGTGTGTGAGAATGGGAGACAAAGTGGGAGAAAGGTAGAGGGGAAGACCATTATTCCTGATTTATTTAATTAGATACCTTCCTTGAATAACCCCCTGTATAGTGATTTCTTTGTGCATTTGAAAAGTGTGGGAGGTAGAATTCCTAGACTATAAGCCAGCGTATAGAGGGCATTCCTTGAAACACGGGTTAGGCTTCAGTGTAAGCCTCCTGGAATCTAGAGGATTCATTTGAATCCCAGGTTGCAATGCTTTTACCATGTTGTGGTGTAGTGGTCTAAGGTGTTTGCTTGGGAGTACCCAGAGCACAGGTTCAAATCCTCCCCATAGGTCCTACTGATTTTTTCACCCTCCTTGTATAATATATCCTATACTGTATTTTGTCACTGATCACCTATGAAAATTTGGATGACACAGTAATCTCTACATCCTTATAAAATGCTCACTCACGGCAATTACATAAAATACTCTACTTGCAAGGTAGACTTAAAAGAAATGAGGCCTCGATTGTAGTTATCCAGCCTGTCCTCATCTCTATGTGCACACACCTTTAGTGTGTAGCGGTCTACATTTGGAACACACAATTGCACTAAAGCAAGTTGAGTCGTGTACAGTATTGTACTCGATAGATACAGTAATGGAGAATTTACAATATTGTATACAGTCCTGTATAGGACTTGGGTATAATATTCTCCAGCTTCTTTTATTATTTATTTCTTGGAAACCTGCTTAAAGAAGTCCAGAATTGTTGCTTGCTGGATGTTTTTTGGCCACTGCTTTATCTGTTTATCCAGAATCTTAGACATTTTTGTAATATCCTCCTGAGTTATAGAACTCCTCTGCTTAAGAAAGCGAATATAGCATTTGCCAAGTTGTATTCCCTCATACATGGAAATATCTGGCTGTGGTTGTATTTCCTTATTAATGGAAATATTCATCTGAGATTGTATTTCCTCATTCAATGAAATGCCTGCTAGCGGCTGTATTTCTTCATTATTGGGCATAATCGGTAAATCGGGTATATTCTCCCGAGATTGTATACCTTCATACGTGGAAATACCTGCCTGTGGCTGTATTTCCTCATTATTGGAAATATTCTCCTGAGATTGTATTCCAGCATTCATGGAAATTTCCTTTCTCAGTTTCTTCTGAATCCTGTTAATACTTTTAAAATTATTTGAGGTCATAAAGCTCCTCTCCTCAAGAAAGCTAATATAGCATTTACCAAGGCGTATTCCCTCATTCAAGGAAATATTCCCAGAGGCCTGTATTCCCTCAATAATGGAAATATTAAATGGCTGCATTCCCTCATCCATGGAAGTCTTCTCCTGGGACTCATCACAGTCACTCTCACTGTTGCTTTCACTATCACACTCGGTGTCACTCTCATACTCACTCTCGCTCCACAAAAAATCAAGTCTTGTTTCTTCAGTGGGTTTGTGTGTTGGAGCATAATTATCCTCGCAAAATGATAAAAATAAGCCATTTTCTGTAACATTATTAAAATATTTGTATGTCTCACTATTGACTGGATGTTTTAAAGCTTTAGCCTTCATTTCCTTGCACATATTTTTGGCTAGTTTCATTAGCTTCTTATCATGTATTGTAATGTAGTCACTTTCAGCATAAGTTTTCAGGATTTTGTCCTCCTGTCTTTTTATATCATAAACGGTGGTCACAGATACATTAAATTTCTCACGAATAGTTTTCATAGGAAATCCTGCATACTTTCTCTTCAAAATTTCCACTTTTTCTGCTATTGTAAGTGGAAAATGCCTGCGCTTTGCAACACTTGCTATACTATAGTCATCAGAGAGTGATCTTTTCTTGGATGCCATTATTGTATGAGGGGGGAAGACAATGTGAAAAATGTAATCAATTCTCCTCGTACACCACCTTAGTATTCAAGGGCAAATCTAAAAATACAAACTGCAAAAATCTTGCAGTTTGAAGGAGTTTTCAAGAATAAAAGACAGCTTAAAGATTCTCTCCTGTACACAGTATTTGGTCATTTAGCAAGTTGCCATATCACTTGAAGTTCCTGAGACTGACTCTATGCAACTTTGTGTTCCTTCACCTGTGAAAAGGAAAATGTATATGGTATTAGTGTGCTGATTCACAGCAAGTACCTACTTCCACTTGCTATACAGAATGTTACTTACAATATTGTACTTTAACCAATTCTGAATTTTAATTTCCTAAAGGTCATAAGGTGCTAAAATAGGTACAGTATAACCTCTACATTGGTATTTTGTCAGTGAATTAACAAATATGATACACAATAGAAAATGTCCACCCCTTAATAAAAAAAAAAAAAAAAGGTATACACAGCAATGTGCTGCTACCCTATTCTATACGAGATATTACACAGTGTAGATAAACAAACTACTTATAGGTTCAACTAATATTGCCATCTCACAGGATGGTTAGTCATATATGGAAATAGGGGAGATAATACCTGCCTTAATACAAAAACCAGAAAAAAATACACCAACCAGTAATGAAAGGAATCCTAGTTGTATGATTATTCATAATTACTGTTTCAAGTCAATGGATTAAACATTATAGGATATCTATCACATGAGAAAACAACAAAATTGTTTTGGAATTACATTACTCAATATCAATAATATCCAGAGTTTTGTTTCAAAATTAAACATGTACTGGGTATTTTAAGTTTCATTTCAGTATGATGAGGTGTTCTCATGATATTAAATTAGAAAATTTAATTGAAATAATAAGGAATAATAAATGAACATTACACAGCTTACACAGGGAGCCAGTCGGCCGAGCGGACAGCACGCTGGACTTGTGATCCTGTGTTCGATCCCAGGCGCCGGCGAGAAATAATTGGCAGAGTTTCTTTAACCCTATGCCCCTGTTACCTAGCAGCAAAATAGGTACCTGGGTGTTAATCAGCTGTCACGGGCTGCTTCCTAGGGGTGGAGGCCTGGTCGAGGACCGGGCCGCGGGGACACTAAAGCCCCGAAATCATCTCAAGAATTTTAACAAATTGCTATGCCCCTTCATTGCTTTTTATATCAAAATATTTAAAATGTATAAAGATGTAAGTAACTGTCAAAAGAAAATATATAAAGTGAATGTAGTCAGTCAACGAAGAAAAAAAAAGCACCCATATCCTGGGCTCGGCAGGCGTATAATACTGTACTGTACTGTAGTCTGATTTTTATAGTCAACAGAGAGTAAACCCTTGGAATTTTGTCTGAAGATGTAAATGCCAAGACATCACTCGTTTAAAATTCGGCTGGAAAAATTCTAGGTAAAAATATCTTTTTGACAAGATGCTGGTTTCCTGTTCCCCATCAAGGCCACTAGAAAAGATGGGCCCTCAGATAAAATGAATAAAGATAAGTATACAGTATGTACGGTAAACAGGTTATTTTAATTCTCATTAAATCATAAGTGAATCTAAAAAAAAACAACCTTTACTTAATCATAAGATTATGGATACATAAGATAGCCTATAGGATATGCAGTGGTGTGCTATTTGGATACATGCACATAGAGCAGTGTACTATTTTGAAAGAATTAGACAACTACTGTATTGCGTAATATGTGCCATGAGTTAGCGTGCTATGACTTGGAGGTGCTGAATGTTATGAAGACATTTCCTGTACCATGATGGTGCTTTTCAAATTGCTAGAGCAAACTTTATGGACAAAACAATGACTGTAATGTGTGAAAATAACACTACAAAATGTGCAAGCCTGTGAGTGCATGCCTGTAGGGATACAGTGTCATCTTCCTAGAAGGATGGACAATGTATGATAACAATAAAATTACTACAGGAAATAAAGGATGAGAATTTTGAGGAAATTAATAGAGGCAGGAAATGTATTGCATCACATCTACACCAATGGATCTGTTAATCGTACTAACGGCAAAGTTAGAGCAGCATAGTGCAATTAGAAATACAGATTCAGACTTATACCTCCTCAATGCAAGTAAAGCTCATTGCCATTGTTATGGCATTATAAAACTTCGAGGAGCAGTGATTTACACTGACTCAAAAGCTGCATAACAAAGCCTAAAAAAAGAAGGAAAAGCAGAACAAATGTTGAAATCATGATGTGTGAAAATGCTTATCAGGGGAGGGTGATAAGAGTCCCTGTGAATTTCTATAAATTTAATATATGTGGAAATGAATGAGATCTGCTGAGGGTGCTGAAGGTAACTCTTAGAACTACAAACTATAGGCTTAGAACTACAAACTATAGGCATCATCAGGCATGAGCATCACGACACTGTAAACAAGGAAAAAAGGATGGAACAACTTGACGATTCTTTACTGTACACGGGTACAATGCAGTTGCAGCCAACGACCTCAATCATTATGAATGGAATGGAGGTGGCCAAGGAAAAATGTTTTAAAGGAAGAGTTCATCTTGAATATAAGTTCCCATGGAGATTTGGGATGGAGACAACAGCTGGGATGCAGATCCAGAGTTGCTGAATCTGCAGTACGAGAGGAGAATACTGTACTGCCTTGACCACCAGTAAAGAAACTGGTGCCTACATAAAAGATTACATTAGAATTGTTTTTTATTATAATAAATCCTACATTGTTAGAGTTAAGAAATCTGTATTTGACTGTTTTTGTCCTTAAAAAGATTCTCTCTGTACCCACAACATAATGTAGGTTATGTTGTGGGTGCTTGTATAGCACCCTCCTGTTGGGAGGGGGGGGGGGCTGTAAGTGCTGTTATGGCAGTATGTTCTCTAACGTATTAAATTCACCTTTCACAGCAAAATTTAAATTAATGATTGAATTCATTTCTGGATGTATGGAAATAATGATGATCACAAAGTAAAAGGTGTGCACATAATTTGTTTTCTGGCTCCAGCCAGAAACGTGACACATGACCATACAGAATATTTTCCCTAGGCCTATTTCCCTTGTAACCTTTGATATGCTATTATGTACAAAGTTTGTGTTTCCCCCAAAGTGAAAAGGTGAAATGAAAGAGGTATCATTTATAAACCTCATTTATATACTTCAGGCTGATAACAACTATAGAGGAGGAACTTTGCCCGTTTAGTGATGGAGGTTCACTGTGAATTAGCCACCCACGCCCCACCTAACAGCCTATCCTAATCAACCACAGCAGCCATGAAAATATACGAAACCGTCGTTTGCGTGGTATTTGGAGAGGTAGGCCAGTCGTCTGCTTACCTTGGTGGTCACATGATATTCAGTATACTGATAATAATAATAAAGGTATTTTAATTATTTTATGAGGATGGAATTGGTTTCCCATTAGGTCTAGATATGATGAGTGTGATAAGGTGCGGTCCTCGTGGTGTAGCTGGTAAGACATTCGCCTGGCATTTCACGAGCACTTTGTCCCGGCCGAGGAGGATTTACTGGGCGTCAAATCCTTAACTGTACGGTACTGTAGCGCTTTATCATGGGTTCGTATCCTGGCCGGGGAGGATTTACTGGGCATCAAATCCTTAACTGGAGCCTCTGTTTACCCAACAGTAAAATGGGTACCTGGTTGCTAAACTATTTTTGGCGGGGTCGTATTCCGGGGAATACCACGATTAAGGACTTGCTCAAAACGCTGTGTGCACTAGTGGCTGTACAAGAATGTAAAAACTCTTGTATATAGAAATAAAAACAAAATAAGGTCGCAGTGTTTAATTGTGGCAGGCGTGACCCCCAAGCAAGTTGGGAACTTACCATAGTCTAAATTGAATTTATTGAGCCTACTTCCCTGACAGCCCGTCCTGGTGTAAACTTTAGTTCATATGCCTCTCAAGAAAAGCTCATTTACCTGTTGTCTTCTTTATGAAGCGTGGCCCTATTGTTAATGTTGATTTTATTTTGTCTTGGAGCTGGAGAGTCCACTACCACGTGATGTTTGCAAACTGTGGCGCGCTGTCTGGTGCCTGCCACAACAATAGTCACGCTACACTCGCCTTACCCCGAGTGCCTGCCATAACAATAGTCACGCCATACTCGCCTTCCCCCAGGTGCCTGCCATAACAATAGTCACGCCACACTCGCCTTCCCCCAGGTGCCTGCCATAACAATAGTCACGCCACACTCGCCTTCCCCCAGGTGCCTGCCATAACAATAGTCACGCCACACTCGCCTTCCCCCAGGTGCCTGCCATAACAATAGTCACAACAATAGTCACTCCATACTCGCCTTCCCACGTCTCGTCTACTAAAAGTCGCCATCTCAACGTCTAAAGCAGCGAATTTGTAATAAAAGGCCCAATATACCCACTCGTACGGGTTTCAGACTAATATGTTTTAATGCACAGAACGCACTACATAATGGTTTTTATTAATATAATCAATGCACGTATTTAATAAAAAATAATGCGATAATAGGGTAACTTACCAATATTTGTAGCATGAAACATAATGGATGGGACTGCATGGATATGCGGTCCCTATCTCATTAGGGACCGCAAAGTCCCTAATGAGTATAAAACTATATACACAAACTCCATTTGTGGAGTTCATGTAGATCTCTTTGTAAGGCTTCAATATCATTATCATTTACCACTTTACCATAAATCTTTGTGTCATCTGCAAATATGATGATGTGGTTTGTAATAATCTCATCTATGTCTGTGATGTATATGACAAATAGGGTTGGTCCCAAAATGGACTCCTGTGGCACACAACTTCACATTTCTCCATTCAGATTCGTTTCCATTTAGCACGACCCTTTGTTTTCTTACTCTGAACCATTGTTTTATCCATTCTAACATTTTACTATTTATTTCATGGGCCTGTAATTTCCTTACCAGTCTTTCATGAGATACCTTAATCAAAGGTTTTAGTAAAATCCATATATACTACATCCACCTGAGGACCTTTGTCTGTGTGGCCCGTTTTCAAAAATGTGAGTAGGCTTGTAAGGCGGGATATATGTTTTAACAAACCCATGTGTCCATTGTACAAGATTGTTCACTGAAAAATATATGTTTTGATTCTCAAGACTGATGTCAAAGGCTCTAGTCCCATTCAATGTCTCAGTTTATTTTTCACAGACTTTACTCTAGAAAATACCCGTTCAACCAGGACATTACTGACTGGTAATCGGTATATTTTTCAGCGCAAACTCAGTGAGGACAATTATCATGGCGTTCCTGCAGCGTTGGTCCAAAATAACGACCCAGCTGTTGGAATTTGCCCCTCACAAAATGTTGGCCCAATCAGTGGTTAACCGTAGACGCCAATGGCTTTCAATTTCATTAAGCTTAGATTGGTCAGCCAGCTATAACCAATGAAAATGAAGGGTGTCGTGTGGGATGGGGGGTGTTGTATCGTGTGGGAAGGGGAGGGAATGATAAAGCATAGTGGACACGAAAAAGATAAAGTAGAGAGGGAATCATAGTTTGGGAGAGAGGGAGCCTCTTCTCTGGGGGGGGGGATGGGGTGAGAGGGAGAGGAGTGAGAGGGGTGAGAGGGAGGCATGGGAGGGGATATAAGGCTGGTGGTGAGCATGGAAGAGACTTGTTGAGCGAGAGACACAGGAGGGAGAGGGTCTCAGTCGTCCGCCGTCCTCTTCAAACTTCCCGTGAAGTAACGCTTCTTAAGTTCGACTAAAAGTTACATATTTCAGTTGTTTTATTTGACTGTTTTGTTAATTTTATGAAAGTGTTGACTGATTTGGAAGGGGGAGATAAGTGTTAACTTGTTCATAATTTGTTACTGGTAATTTTCACAACTTGGAAAGCGTTTTCAACTTGGTAAAGCAAGCCATTTTAGACGCCAATGACCCCGCCTTGTCTCCTGTTAACGGAGGACCCCAACTGTTAATGGTAAGCTGTGGACCGTTGTTGTGGAACTAATGTACAATTTTCCTGTTACTAACACCGTTGTCTGTGGACCATTGACAGTACTGTAGTTGTCTGTGAATCACTGACAACACAATAGTAAAAATAAACAATAATATGAAACAAATAATAACTATTTTCGAATGTTTCTGACATTTTCATTCGAGCAGTTTTTTGAACTCTAGATAAAACCAATTATATTTCTTGTTAAAAATGTGTAGAATTCCTTTTACAATTAATATTTAGTTTTAGCAAAGCATCATTCACACAATGACAATATTCTAATTATACTTTGGCAAATTATAATTATTCTAATTATAATTTGGAATATATTGTAGCCTAACACAAATTTTTGGGACTCGCAAAACACTATGTACAGATTACAGCATTTTAGGTACAGTTTTTTGACGCAAATGTGACAACTGCTTCACAGATTATTATTGTTGCCAACTCCACTTCCTCGGTTACAGATTCCCTAGACTCCAGGTTACCTGTAGCCTGTACCCCAGAGGTACAGGCTACGGGTCATATAGACTTCAGGTTACCTGTAGCCTGTACCCCAGAGGTACAGGCTACGGGTCATATAGACTTCAGGTTACCTGCAGCCTGTACCCCAGAGGTACAGGCTACGGGTCATATAGACTTCAGGTTACCTGTAGCCTGTACCCCAGAGGTTCAGGCTACGGGTCATATAGACTTCAGGTTACCTGCAGCCTGTACCCCAGAGGTACAGGCTACGGGTCATATAGACTTCAGGTTACCTGCAGCCTGTACCCCAGAGGTACAGGCTACGGGTCATATAGACTTCAGGTTACCTGCAGCCTGTACCCCAGAGGTACAGGCTACGGGTCATATAGACTTCAGGTTACCTGTAGCCTGTACCCCAGAGGTACAGGCTACGGGTCATATAGACTACAGGTTACCTAGGGTGATCACTTAGCGAGCACTGTAGTATGTACGTAGCCTCAACAATGGTCTTTGTCCTTTGGTCTGTAAAACACCGGAAAGATGTTTCAATAGTAGTCTTTCTTATCACGCTTGTATAACACTTGGTTTTAATGTTTAATTTTCCTGCACGTGTTTTCCTTGGCGGGCTAGCCTAGTATTTTTATAGCTTTTTTCAATTTTTGTGAGGCTACTGTTTTATTATATACAAGTTTTTCCTATCACAGACGTGATATCTATATAGTATGTATATAGAAATCTGCTCAAATGCGAAGGGAACGTTGTGTAACAATTTCAAAGCAATCGCTGGAGAACTTTCGGAAATTTGCTATTTTGAACAAACGAACATTTCCATTTTTATTTATGTAGATTTTGTCATATTTCGTGCAAAAATCGTAACGTTTTGAAGGTGTTTGCTGGTGAGTTTGAGACACTCCGCCCGAGGTACCAAACTGTTGCTGGACAAGCGCCTCCAGCCTTGCCAGCGGCACAGCAACTTGTTGCTTCAACAAACTTGCACGATGATCAATAGCGTTGAAGATTTGCGTGTGTCTTGGTGGTGATGGCGCGAGGCTTGGCGCGGCTCCTGTCTTTCCTTCCCAATGTCTGGGACAGGAAGCCCTTCAGGGTTATCTAGGGCCTCCTTGACAAATTATTCTGACCTTCCCCGTCATGCAGCTAACATGCTCACAACAGCTGCCTGACTCCAGCACCTGTTGACTGCTAGATGCAGAGGCGTTAAGGCATAACGTGCCGAAACATGTCCATCCCAGCCGCCCGCCCCTCGCCTATCCCATCTCCTGTCCTGGTGGATTGTGGTGGACGGTGGATCATGTTGGAGTCTTGTGTCATTGAAGATAATATAACCTGTCTGTCTCGTATATGTTTATATTACCGCCCCGCTGTGGTGTTGGTGGTGTGGTGATTGTGGTGGATGAGGATGGTGTATTGTGTGTGTGTGTGGTATTAATTTGTATTTAATACTTGTGTCTGCTGAATCGAGCTGTTAGCTCTTGGACTCCGCCTTTTCTAACCAATCTATTTTTACTCCATTATGTCTGCTACATATATCTCTCTCTGCTACACACACACACACATCACATCACCAGGAAGCAGCCCGTAGCAGCTGTCTAACTCCCAGGTACCTATTTACTGCTAGGTGAACAGCGGCTTCAGGGTGAAAGAAACTCTGCCCCTTTGTTTCCACCTCGGCTGGGAATCGCACCAAGGCCCTTAGGACTACGACCCCCAAGCGCTGTACACTTAGCCGCGAGGCCCCAAAGACCTTTTGTGTGCGTGTGTGTGTGTGCGTACTAACCTAATTGTACTCACTTAATAGTGCTTGCGGGGGTTGAGCTCTGGCTCTTTGGTCCCGCCTCTCAACCGTCAATCAACAGGTGTACAGGTTCCTGAGCCTATTGGGCTTTATAGGTGCTACCACTCCACGGGCGACCAAGTGTAAGACTACCAACACGCCCGCCAGGGTTCGGCACCACCTCTCCTTCTGGCAGGTCTCACCCCCCCCCCCATGTACTCCCACCACCCACCTGCACCCCCCGTCAACCACCCCCCACTACCCCTCACCACCACCTACCACCCCCCACACCTCCCAGCTATCACCATCACCTGATACACCACCTTCAATATCCTGACGGAGACGCTCCTACCTACCCCCCCCCATCACCGCACAGGTAAGTAACCCCCCTCAAACCCCACCCCCCTTCTCTCCCCGTTCCTTTACCCCTACCCGTCATTATATCATTATCTCTCTGTCTATTATCATCTTTTTCTCATTCCCACATTCCCTAATCACCATCTCCCTCCATCTGACAGTTCCTCTCTTCTCTCATTTACTCCTCATGTGGCTCTTAGGACCTTCGGCGCCACATACTTCAGTACTTCCGTCTCAGATTCCCTTCTCTAGCTTTCCTCTGTTCCCACACCTCATCCCTTCCATTTCTTTCCCTTACACCTTTCCTTCTCTATACCAATAACTCACTCCCTTATTATCTTTCTCCTCCTCCTCCTCCTCCACGCTTTTCAACCTATCCCATTCTTTTCCCTCCCTCCCTCTCTCCCTCATTCATCCATCGCTACCCTTTCCATTCATTCACACACTCATTCCTCCCTGTTCCTCTTCTTCCATTCCTCAGCCCCTTCCTCTCCACCGTCTCT